GCCCAACAGATTCCAAATATGGCAGTGACAGTTACCCCCATCAAAGTGACTCGCTTCCGCACTCTCATGACGCCCTGAATATATAGAGAAAAATACAATTAAGATAGTAATCAAAGTGGCTGTGAGCTACTGAACTTGGAAAATAAATTATGAAAGGGTGTTAAGAGGCTCTGCTCATTAAGGAACTAGTTGTGATTTGAGGGCAGTCTAGCTTTCTAACAAGCCCATAAACCCTTTTTCTATTCAGGGGTGTGTTGTGATATTTGCAAAATGAAAATGTTCAACGTTAAGAATCTGTTTGTTAGTCAGACCTGCCTACACGTTTTACATTACATGTATCTGTACAAGCCTTCCTTGTGCTGTAGTCAAAAATGGCAAGATTATTTTGTTTGGTCAAAAGTGAGGTACAGACTGAACGAAACTCATCAGCCTGCGGTACGTAAATAAATAATTAATACTTTCGTTATCGGTAACTGATGTCGAAGAGTTCAGTGTGATAAGTGCTGGCTCGCCATGCGAGACATTGGAAGTTCGAATCCTAGTGGTTACTGCTGATTTTCATTTCTTTTCTTCTTCATTGTTTTTTCTTTTCTTAAAATTACCGAAAGGTAGCGTTTTTCTTTCCATTTCTTGTGTTAAAAAAATCGTCTGAAGCCTTTAATCATTCGTTTATATCAATTGCTTTCGAATTCACATATCACGTAGGTTTGTGACGAAAAACTACGAAGACTTTCCCTGAATCGAATCGCTAAGCATGCAAGAACCATAAGTATTTTCCTTGCAATGGAAAATTCGTTCTACCTTCTACCTCTCGAAAATAACTACTTGATACGCTGCAAGCGACTGTAAAACGGTCTTAGACGGCTGATGTTCGACACCCGGGGGGACTCCTACATGATAAGGTCGGGGATGCTCGTCGTCTCGGGTAAAAATCAAGGATTCTGGTCTCACTTGGGATGTTGATGACGAAAGGTCACTATTTTTAGCTGTCAAAGTAACCTTTAGAGTGCACCCGAGGAAATAATAAAAGAAACGCTCTCATTTAATTTCTGTTTTTAGGCTTGATATCCGCTAATCTCTCGAGTACGCGAGTCGGGTCTACAAGTGCGCGGTATCCTCTCTTGAACAGTGGCAAGTAATCGAACCTATTCGTTTTAAGTGGTATATTTTAGGGGTCTAATGAAGCTCAAGCAACGTCCAAATTAATCTCCCTTAGGAGATAAATTCAAATTTTCCAACGAGCATCCCTTGCCTTTTCATATGGGAGTT